GGCGCCACGTCGCCATCCCCCCCCCTCCCCCCCCTGCTCCCCTCCTCTTCCACCACGTCATCCCCTCTTCTTCTTCCACCAACACACCCACCGAAACCGCCGTGCTATACGATGAAGGCTGCGATTTCTTCTCACCGGAGCCGCCGGGCTCCGGTTTGCTGCAGGAGGTGATACACGGGTTCTACCCTAAGCGAGGGAGCGACGTGGTTGATGCCACGAATGATGCCGTGAAAGTAACGGAGCCAGTGTCGTTGGACGAAATGACGGTTTCGGATGGTGTCGGTTTCGGTTTCGGGGAGTGTTTTCCGAGTGTTTCGGAAGGGTTGCTGGAGGATATTATACAGTATCCGGAGTTCTTCGAGATGATGCCCAGTAAGCTTCAGTCTGGAATTAGCCACAGCGCGAATTGATATTGGTTGATGTTTGGTTTTGGGCTGGGGATGGAAATATATAGGTTTTTGTGCGTTAGGGTTTGTTAACATCTTGTTGTCCATGCATCGTGTGGGGTTCTGTAGGGAGGAATCTTTTCGCCTTATTTCTATTAAGTCTCTTATTTTAATGGAAATCAATGGGTTTATTTCAGGTTCGGCACTTTCTAAAATATTGAGAAATTAATCAAGCACAGATTTTCATGGGGGAAATCCAAAAAAAATACTATTTTTAAGGTAAAAAAACAAAGCTTTGTACTTTTAGGAGTTTCTATGGATATGCTGCCAAGCAAACTATGGATTCACAAGGTTTTTTTCTTTTATAAAGCTAACTATATAGGCTAATATTTTCTCCTGTTGTGCCGTTTTAATAAGCATTATTTTATAATAAGAACTTAACATATACAAGTTGCATCAATACAAATTTACATTATAAGAGTATTACAATGTTAAAAACACTAACTTCCATCAAGTACTGGATGATTTGACATTTGGTTAGTGTGTTATGTTCATAACTTTTATACTTTCACCGCAAATTAAATACTCAAGTTGTAAGATTACAGAGTTGTTCACGTAACAAAATCTGACCAAATAAATTCTCACTTCTGAGATGTAGAATTGGAGCTAATTCCCATGGTTTTATGGTTTTGTGTTGCACTCTGTCCCAAGATAGTCTTTTGCCAAACGTGGGCCAACATACATATCTCCCATGACACTGACGGTTGGATTTATATGCAAAATCATTATATTTATATAAACATATGATATAAATATAGAGATAGAAAAGAATTTAATGCGATTGAGAAATTGAGAGTGATGGGAATAATGTTGACTGCATGGGATGTTATGTACTTTTAATATATTTAGCTATAGGAAAGAATTTAAAGGTTGAAAGTTTACAACTTGCAAGAAAATAGTTTGTTTAGATATATATATAAATATGAGGAGTATTGCTGAGAAGTGAAAGGATATTTAAGGGAAAAGCTGTTGTTGTCGGGGCTGTGTGTTGTAAGAGACAAGCACGCTCCTCAGATATGGAGGCGGGAGGTAGAGGATGGACCGATGGAAGTCTGCCTGAGCTTCACTGATCTCTCTCCTCGGGATTGATAGGCTTCTTTCTATGCGGCGTACATGAGCAGTTTAAAGCGAGGATCACGAGGATGTGAAAGGGGAGGACCCGTGCAAGATTATCTATTATTGTTTAGATTGTTATTTGCAAATATTTTTGTTATTTGTTTTTATTTTAATTTTTTTTAGGTGTGGTGATAAGAGATAAGATGAGTTAGTTCAATGAGTTCTTCAATGTTCTCGGTCTTTTGAAGCCCGTCGTAGTTTTTGTATTTTGTGGTATAATCTCGAGTTTCTTGAAGATGTTTTCAATTGTTGGAATCACTTCCGTCTGTTTATACTAGATTTTTCTTACTAAATTCATTCTCTCAGTCTCGGGCCATATTAAAGACATTTAATTGTGGTGCGCTCTTGATTCCCTTGTTGGAATCCCTTCGGGTCTGTTTATACTAGATTTTTCTTACTAAATTCGTTCTCGGAGTCTCAGGCCACATTAAAGACATTTAATTGTGGTGCGCTCTTGATTCCCTTTCTTTGGGTTGTATTATGTTTGGACTTCTTATGCACTTGGACTTCATTAGATAACTTTGGATAGAGCTTTCCCTAGTGTCATGTGAGGTTTAATCTAAGCTCATTTTTATTTACTTCTATTTTTCTTTTCCTTTCTATTTTACTTATAGTTCATTTTTTTCGTTATTGTATTTCCTTCTTTTATCTTTCTCTTATAGGAGTACTTTTTATATAGGTAAATGTTGGGCGTGACCCTTAAAATTTTGAAGAAAAAAAATTTCCTATACCACATCAATGGGTTAAAAGGACAATAAATGGGAGAATAAAAAGGAGAGTTCCTTCGATGTCATATGTGATTCTCAATCATTACAACATCATATGTAAGAGGCTTCTAGTCAGGAAGCAAAATCTTTGGCTATAAATGAATAAAATGGACCGTGAATCCTAATAAAGTATATTTTACCTTCTTGAAATAAAAGTGCATCTCGACTCTCTTATCGATCCTCTTTTAAGGAATATGAACCTTTTTACTAATGATTACAAACTAGAATAATTTTCTTTATAACTATAGTGACTGATGGATCTGTGGTATCATGACTTCATTATTTCTACCTGATTATGATCACTTTACCTTTCCTTTCGTTACCCCCATTGAGCTCTATCACTCCTCTTAACGCTTCATCGATGTTGTCTCGTAGTCCCCGATTACGGATAGACTGGCTTCTATTTGAAATACGGTGATTCACCCTCTACTCTTATAGCCCGGTCAGGCCTTGGACCATAGCCCTACGGGAAGACCTGGTTATTTCATAGGCCTCAATTTTCGATTTGCCGCTACCCATTTAGGATGTAAGAGACTCACTCTTTGCCCTATGGATTAGCGAGAGCTTTGAAGC